CTGCTCCCGCGCGATCGGGCGGGGCCGGAGGTGGACGCCGCCGGGGCGGCCGGGCCGACTCGCGCTCCGTTCCCGTCGCCGAAAGTAAGTTGGCAGAAAGCGCGGCCAGGCCCTGCGGTCCTCGCAGTTCTGGTTTTTGGGGTCACGTGGCCCGGGCCCTTGCACAACCCGCAGGGGCGTTCAGCCTCTGGACGCAGCCGGCTTTTCCCGGTTCCGCTCTGTGGGCTCCAGCAGGGGAGCTGGCCGGAGAGCCAAGGCGCGCTCAGACCGGTCAGCCGAATGTTGCCGGGCGCGCGTTGTCCATCTGCCCTCGAGCCCCGCAGTCAGGCTGACCAGCGCCTTGGGGGCGCTGTGGCCACTGGGGTGTTAGGCCCTGGCCCACCTGGCTCGCAGCACCATTGGCAACACTGGGCTGAGGGTCAGAGGCCCCCCTGGACCTTCCAGCCTTTGTGAGGATGAGAGGGGAGAAGGGGGTCCTTTCTGCTGGGCTGGGTGTTAGGGGTGGCGCAGCCGCGCTGAGGTGGCCTGTGGAGACAGTGGCAGCCCTGGCCCGCGGTGGTCTCGGCCCCCTGCTACCAGCAGTAAGGGGGCTGGGGGTGTGGGGGGCGTTTGCCTCCAGGTCGCTCGTTCTGCAGGTTTGCGTCCCCCGGGCAGGGTTCTGTTGTTAGGAGCCCTTAAAACTGGCCCCTCACCCCCTCCGCCCTTCAGGCTGTGGCTCTGTCTGAATGGGAGTTCAGCTCTCGGTGACACCTAAGCTCCCCGCGCGGAGACCTTATCAGGGGCTCGGTGGGCCCAGCTCCTGCCGCGGCTGGGGCTGGGGAGTGTGAGACGGGGGCTGACCCGCATCACCCTCAGACCCTGGCTTTTGCCCACCGTGGCGAGGGGAGCCGGCAGCTGGGCGGCCAGTAGGGAAAGGGAAGAGGACGGCCCCAGCTGGGGAGAGGCTGGGTGGCCGTCGAGGCGGGGGGCGGCCATGGGGCCGGCGGGCTTCACCGGCAGCGTTTTGTAAAACCTGTCTCCAAAGCGGACTCCTTCACGCGCCCGAGGCCCGGGGTGGCTGCTGCTGCGGGCGCGCACGCCCAGTGATGGCCAGTGCATAGAGACTGGACCTGTGTGGGGCATTTGGGCAGCGTGGTCGAGACGAAGGATGCCGATCTTCGCCCTAAAGGGCGCTGGCCAAAGGACTGGCTGCCGCGGGGTGGTGGGAGCCAGCGCCAGCTTTCAGCCCCTCTGCAGTGCCACAGTGGGAGGGAGACGGGAACGCAGTGGTTCTGGTTCTCTAAGATCTGAACATTTTCAACTCGCGATTTTAATTATTTTGTCGGTTTCACTTAGTCACAAATGGCCACCAAAAGTCTCAAGATGCTGTAACCCACCCTGAAGAGCAGGGTGACAGGGAAGGGGCAATTGGTGCTGATTTCGCCACAGGATCCGGAACCGGAGTTGTTCAGAAAGCCGTGAGCCGCGTTTCTTGTGAAAGTCCTTATTTGCAGAGAAATGCGGTTCCTGGTTGCCTGATCAGAGCTGTGAGTTTCTGTTCAAGACTGCAGTGCCCTTGGCTGATTTTGGTGGTCAGACGTCGCCGAAAATTATTTTCCAACGTGTTTGTGCTCCGTCAGATGCTGTGCGGTCAAACAGCTGAGGGGGGGTCGGTGCGAACCGCTCTGTCGCCAGCTGAAGCCCCAGGCAGACACAGGAAAGTGGGGGGCACTGCCGAGGGCCACACTGCTCGCCGAGCTCCGCCCCGGGCGCCCGGAGCCGGCCGACTCCTCCTTGCCCTTGTTCCCGGCTGATTTTCTCTTGAAAGGTGCATTTGTCTGATGGATCAGTCCTTTTCCTTTTTTTTTTTTATCCCCGAGGACCCTGATAAATGTTCTTTTACAGCTCTTTTCTCCTTGCCCTGGTGGTGGCTTCCTTGGGCACCCCGGGGTGTCCCAGAGAAGGTGGGTGGAGGGCAAGGGAGGTGTGGACAGGGAAGCCTCCCGGGGGTGGGGCTCGGGGCTCTGAGGACCGGCAGCCTTGCCCCCCTGGGGCAGCGCGCGCCAGCCCTGGGGGTGCCTGTGGGTGTGGCAGGAGGGAAGCCTGCAGCTTCCAGAAGGAAAAGCGACAGCTTTTGGACAGGATGGGCCTCGCCGCTGCCCCCCGGCCGAGGCCGCTGGCCGAAGGACACGTCTCTCATCCCAGGGTGGGAGTGACCGTGTGACGAGCTGCAGTCGTGGCCCTGTGCTGCTGCTCCTGCTTCCTTCCAGGAGGCCGCGCTGAGCCTGAACGCGGGGCGGGGTGAGGCGCCGCTCGGCACGGGGCTTGGTCTGGGGTGCTGCGCGCCGAGCCAAGGTCGCGGTCCCCTGCTTGCTCAGCAGGTTCCCCTTGCCGGTGTGTGCGGGCGCCTCGTTAGGCCAAAGCTGGGGGCGCCAGGGGCAGCAGGGTGGCAGGACCAGGCTGTGGCCACCTGTGGTGGGTGCACCTGTCGGGCGGTGTCAGGAATCGCTGGCAGAGAAGAGGTTTGGGGGACGGCAGGCGGAATTGCGGGCGTCTCCAGAATTTGGCTGGGGTGAGCGAGGAAGGGCAGGCTCTCCAGGGGAGGGCTGGATCTAGGTGCGGATCTGGGTGCCAAGAGGCAGTGGGGCCAGGGTCTGGGGGGAGAGGAGGAGCGTCCAGCTCTGATTTGCGGGGACTCGCGGCGGGCATGGGGCTCACCCTGGGGGCCAAGGTCTTTGGGGCCCGCTGTTAGGCTTGTTGCCAGGGCCCCCCCTGGGGCGAGTGGTCGCCCCGTGGAAGAGGGGCTGCGGGCAGAGGCCCCCGGTGGCGCCCCCTCCTCTCAGAAAGCAGCTCTGCCCCTTGGAGAGGGTGGTGGACCGGCTCTGCCTTGCTGTCTCCCCAGATCGTGCCCCAGGGCAGTGTCTTGAGGCTCTCAGGGCCTCGGCCAGCCCCTCCGGGGCGTCTGCACCGCGCCCGGCCACCGTGGCCCTGGGAGCAACCTTTGCTCTTTGCCTGGCCCGGCTCCCAGGGGTGCGGTGAGAGGAGCCGCAGGGCCGCTCCGCCCGAGCGCCGTCACCCGCTGCCCCCCGGACGGGGCGTTTGAAGGCGTTTGACACCGCGCCTGGCCCTGGCCGTGGGGAGGCGCCGGCCTGAGTCCAGGTAGAGGCGGGCTGGGGTGCAGGCGCCGGGGCGGAGCCCCCCGGAGCCTGAGGAGCCCTGGTGCAGCGTCCCCGGCGGTGGCACCCTGCCGGCCGCTCAGTGCCGCTCGGGGGCGGCTTGTGCGCCTGCTCCTGGGCTCCGGGGGGCGGCTGCCCGCTGCGTCCACGCGGCCTGGCGGCCAGAGCGGGACTCCAGGCGGCCGCCCTTGAGGCTGTGTGTTGAGGTCGGCCGCCAGCGGGGTCCCTGGCGAGGGGCCGCGGCGCTGAGCCTCACGCGTCGCCCGGGCACGAGCCGCCCTCCCTGCTGGAAGCCAGCGCCGGGGTCTGAGGCTCCCCCGCCCCCTCCCCGGCCATGCTGCCGGTCACTGCGTGGACGGCAGCTGCTGCCTCACTGGGCCCCGGGGGGCCCTCCGTAGGGCCTGGCCTGCGTCCATCCGCAGCGCCCATCCCGAGGCTGCCCGCCGGGTCCGCACAGGCCTTTCGTCGCCCCGCTCCGCGCTAAGCCCGGCCTTCTGGGGTGCAGCGGTGCTCCCTGGAACTCACCTTTAGCTGGGGCTGAGATAACAGCTTGTTCTTCTGTTGCTCACGTCCCGGGAGGGTTCGCGGCTGGGGTGGGGGGAGGGGTGCGGCGAGTGGCTGAGGGTCACGGTACGTGGCCGTGTGCTCCCAGGGGCACCGCACAGTCTCCCCGAGGCCATGCTGTGGGGGGCTGTCAGCTAGGTACGGTGCGCTGTGCCTGGTGGAACCCGGGCCGCTGGCCCTGGCCGCCTTCCTCCTGCACGCGCGTTTCTGGAGGAAGTCACGAGGGGAAGCCCGAGGTGAGCGGCAGCACGGGCACCGCTGCCCGGCTGGAGGGTGACCGCAGCGGCGCCGCTCTGCCGGCCGAGGGTCCTCTGGGCTGGCGCCGGAGGGCTGCGGCGTGGGGCCTGCCCGGCGGGGCCCTGGCCTGAGCGCTGCCCCTCGGCCGGAGCCCCGCGGAGGCTGAGGCGACGGCTGTTGGCCTGTGCGGTCACTGCTCGCTGACGTCAGCGCGCTTGACGGTAATAAGAAGGCTGCGCCGTCCTGTCCGCAGTCTGGGCCCAGCCCTGCTCGCCCCGGCGGGGCATCTTTCCGGAGGATTCCAGACCGGCAGGTTATCTCTGTCTGCACCTCAGATGGTGGCGGGGCAGAGGCCGCTGCTCTCCGCACTTTCGCTGTGGGCGGGGACGGGCGGGGCCTGGGGCCGGCTGGGGCCAGTCCCTCTGCCTGTCTGTTGCAGGAAGAGAAGTGCCCTGGGCCCCGCCTGGGGGGTGTTTGGCCTCGGGCTGTAAAACTGGCAGGTCCCTCTGGGGCTTCTAGAATTTCTCCCTGTAGTTCCACCTCTGCAGGGGGCGTTTATTGTCACGAGTTCATTGTTGATTCTGAAGTTTGTCGTCTAAGGCTCAGTTTTGTTGGAGCCATTTTGTCTACACAGCAGATTGGTGGAAGGCACAGGGGTTGCCCGGTGCCCACCTGCAGGGCCTCCCACGGGCGCCGGTGTCCCGGACTGGGGCCTTTGGCAGGCGACTCGCGGAGCCCCCGTGTGCTCGCCGGCCCCCGTCGCCTGGGTCCCTGCCTCGTGGCGCGCGAGAGGGTTTTCTTGGCTGTTTCGTCTTTGAAGTTCACAGCTCTTGTTCCTTTTGGCCTCGTCCGCTGGGGAGAGTGACCGTCTAGGCCTCCCTGCGTGAGCCCTGCTTCTGGCCTTCAGCCTCAGCTCAGACGCTGGACCCAGTCCTCTGTGTCTGGCACCCCACAGCCCCAGCTGGACCACCAGTCTGACTGGCTCCGCTTCTTTGAGAACTTGGCGCTCCCCTGGCTGCAGGCTTGTCTCCCTTCACCTGGCCATTGCTGCCTAGGCCTGGTCCCTTCTGTAGACGTGGCGTCAGGAGGGACTGAGCTCACTGTGTCCTGTCCACTCTGTGCTCTGTAAAGCGCCTGATCTCTGCGCGGGGGGCCAACCGCCTGTGGCCCAGGGAGCGCCGTCGTTAAGACGGGTCTCATTTGTTTATTTAAAAATACATCCATTGAAGAGCTGGGCGCAGGCCAGAGGTGCGCGGTGAGAGGACGCCCCAGGAAGAATGGGGAGCAGAGCAGGCAGGTTCCCTGAAATCCACTGCTGAGGGGCAGTGGGGAAACAGGAGGGGTCTGCTGCACCCTGGGGTCACTCCCCGGCCAGGGTTGAACAGAGGCTGTGGTGGTGACAGCCCGAAGCTGACCCCCAGCGAGGCCCAGGGCCTTTTTTAAATGGGGAAGAGGCTCCCTTGGTAGGTGGCCGGGGGCTGCAGGAAATGGCTGGATCCAGCGTCCTCTGCAGGGCGGGAGCTGGGGGTGCCTGCCCGCAGCCTGGCCTCTGCCCCCGGCAGTGGGGCCAGAGTCCAAAGGCCGGCAGCCCGGGTCCCAGCCTCAAGTCAGGAGCACTCACAGGGCTCCACGTCGGCCATGTCCCGGCCTGCCTTCTGGCTTCACTGGCGCTGCACCCGGGCTTGTCTGTGGCCCCCGGGGTGTCCCCTGCAAAGACACTGGTAGCAGTAGCCTCAGGTTCTGGTCAGCTGTCCAGGTGGGCAGGACATTCTCCTTGCTTGGGAGCCAGTTTCACCTGCCCTCCTGCTGTGGGCAGGCCACTGTCCTTCGCTGCTCCCCAGGGGCACAGACGCAGCTCCAGGACTTCCCTGCAGGTTTCTCTGGCCAGTTGCTCCCACTGTCTGCGAGGATGGGGAATATCTTTGCGAACCTCTTCAAAGGCCTTTTTGGCAAAAAAGAAATGCGCATCCTCATGGTGGGCCTGGACGCCGCAGGGAAGACCACCATCCTGTACAAGCTGAAGCTGGGCGAGATCGTGACCACCATCCCCACCATAGGTGAGGGCCGGGGGCCGGGGCGAGATGTGGCCACCATCCCCGCCACGGGTGAGGGCCGGGGGCGCGGGACGTGCACTCACCTGCTGTGCTTCCAGGCTTCAACGTGGAGACCGTGGAGTACAAGAACATCAGCTTCACCGTGTGGGACGTGGGCGGCCAGGACAAGATCCGGCCTCTGTGGCGCCACTACTTCCAGAACACGCAGGGTGGGTGCGGCCGCCCCCCAGGGCCAGGGCGGGGCTGGGGCGCGTCCTGGCGCCGGCTGACGCCCCCTGCTTTGCAGGCCTGATCTTTGTGGTGGACAGTAACGACCGAGAGCGGGTGAATGAGGCCCGCGAGGAGCTCATGCGGATGCTGGCTGAGGACGAGCTGAGGGACGCTGTCCTGCTCGTGTTCGCCAACAAACAGGTGCGTTCTGGGCGGGGTGGGGCGGGGCGGGGCGGCGCGGTGCCCGGCAAGGCCGAGCTCACCGGTGCCCTCCCCATCAGGACCTCCCCAACGCCATGAACGCGGCCGAGATCACGGACAAGCTGGGCCTGCACTCTCTGCGCCACAGGAACTGGTACATTCAGGCCACCTGCGCCACCAGCGGGGACGGGCTCTATGAGGGACTGGACTGGCTGTCCAATCAGCTCCGGAACCAGAAGTGAGCCTGTGCCCCCGCGCCCCTCTCTGCCCTCGCTTTTCTCTCATGTGGCAAACGTGCACCTGTGGTGTGAGTGCCAGAAGCTGTCTCCGGGCTGGCCAGTGCTTCACCATGCTGTACATGTGCAGGCGAGCTGCAGCCGGGTTTTATTTAATGTAAATAGTTTTGTTTCCAACGAGGCAGTTTCTGGTACTCTATGCAATCTTACTCAGCTTTTTTATTGTACAAAAAGAATCAACCCGCCGTTCAGTGCTGAGACGGGATGGCAGGCACTGCGGCTCAGGAGTGCTGGGTCAGGTGCCCGCACGTCCTCGGGGCTCCAGTCTGTGTTGAGGTCCATTTTGGTTTTTAACCCGAACTCAGTGCATTTTTTAAAATAGTTCCAAACACAAGATAAGGAGAACACGCGAACACACAGAGGGAGAGACGTGCCTCGTGGAGATTCTGCAGGAGCGGCCTGCGTGCGGCCCTGTGCCAGTGGGGCTGCGCGACACCCACTCTGCATGGTCACAATTGGGTCCCTGTGATTTGCTGTCTCGGGCCACCCTGTCCCCGTAGCGTCTGTGCTTGTATTTGTGCTTAAACGGCTGCCCAGGAGACTGGCCGGGGGCTGCTGCCAGCTACTCGGACTCACGGGGGGGAGGGGGCCTGGCCTCCCCTTGGGTCCGCGTGGGGCCCTCCGGCCGGAGCACAGCCTGCCTGCCCCTCGGCCTGCCGGGCTGGCTGGGGCTCGGCCGTGGGAGTGCGGGTGGCGGGCAGGCGGACAAGGCCCGCCGGCCACAGCCCCGAGCCCCGGCTACCTGCGCTTTCACTCCCTCCGCCTGCAAGGGTCAGATTTGCCATCGAAAACGACGACCTCTACTTTTTTCTTTTGTATTTTGATAAACACTGAAGAAGCTGGAGCTGTCAAACTTTACTTGGGGAAACCTCAGAAGTGGTTTATTTGGTGTCGTGGAACCTTACTGCTTTCAATACACGATTAGTAATCAACTGTTTTGTATACTTGTCTTCAGTTTTCATTTCGACAAACAAGCACTGTAATTATAGCTGTTAGAATAAAATCTCTTAACTATTTCACCGGCTCTCAGGTGCTTTGGTGCGGCCAGTGTGCAGCCCGCCCGCCGGCCTCACCCGGGCAGGGCGGCCCTGTCTGTCCTGGCGGCACCGCTGCAGACCTTGTAGTGCAGGCACCTGCCCAGGGTGGGGCCTCTGGTCAGCGCCACACAGAGCTGCCTTGGCCAAGGGGGCCCCTGTCCCCAAGGATGCGAGCAGCAGCTTGCAGCCTGGGCTTCATCACGGGTGCCAGCCAGTCCGGCGGTCAGGGGCTGGGCCTGGACACGCCAGGGCTCCCTGGGCCGAGGGCCGTGCTCTGTGGCTCCTGGCACACACCCTTCCGGCGACCGGAGGCGCAGCCCTGCCTCCAGGTGGGCCCACCACGGCCGGGCGCTTGTCTCCCTGCCAGTGGCTGTACTCCAAGTGATGACCAGGTCTCCGGCGAGGGCCAGGTGCCTTTGGGGGGCAGAGGGTGTTCAGGTCTCGCTGGAAGCCCAGCTCAGCTCAGAGTTCCCGTAGTCATTTGTAGCTTGAACCTGACTTAAAAATACGTTTATTTAAGTACAAAGCCAGTTGATAGAAAGAACATGAACGCCAGACAGGGTGCTTGGTCAGCGAGGCCCCTGGGTGGGGGTAGGGCGCAGAGGCCAGTGTGGAGCAGGTTGGGCCGTCCCCTGGGCAGGCCAGCCCTCGCCGGCGCTCCGGGCTCGGGCTCCCCGTGCGGCCTCAGTCACTGTCGTGGTGTCGCCTCCTCTTGCAGCGGGGGGACGGGGGCTCGGGGCCCAGCCCCCCAGGCCTAAGAGACGTCCAGGTGTGAGGGCCGCCCTGCAGCCCGAGTGCAGCAGAGCCAGGCCCACTGGGCAGGGGACCCACCGGGCGGGCGAGGAAGACGGGGGCGAGGCGGCCCGCCCCTTGCGGTGCTCCTTGTCTTTCTTTTTCTCTTTCTTGTGCTTCTTCTTCTTCTTCTTCTTCTCTTTCCTGGTCTTCCTGTGGTTCTCCAGGCTGTTGGGGTTCCAGGACATGCCCGGAACAGGCTTTGCAGGAGCATCTCACCAGGCTGAGGCCCAGGGCTCTGCCAGCCACTGCAGTAGCCACTGACCATGTCGCCGCCGCCACCTCACAGGCCTGGCCCGTGGCCCCAGTGTGGCTCTGTGGGGCCAGCCCACAACCCCTGGTGCTCAGCCGGCCTGCTGCCCCCCCCACGCCCCTCCTCAGCCCAGGGCCATGCACAGGCGCCCTAATCCCACTGGCTCTGCACCCTGGGCTGCTCCAGAAGCTCCCCAAGGATGACGCCGAGCTCCTTACCCTGCCTGGGCCCCTTACCCTGCCTCGGCCTTCTCCTCCGAGCGCGGCTTCTTCCTGACAGAGGTCGGGGAGGCCCCAGGCCGGCTGCTCTCCACGCGGTGGTGCTGCCCAGGGAAGCCCCGGTTTGCGGGCCAGGAGGCTGGGAGGCCCCCCGCCCCCCGCCCCACACCGCGCCCCACTCTCAACGTAGAGAGGCACACAGACCGCACACGTGAGGGACCCCGGGCCACAGGCGGTTACCGTGAACACGGACAGCCCCAGCTTGGCGGCCTCCTTGTCTTCCCGGGACAGCGCCACTCGGCCCGCGGAGCCACTGCGGGGACGCGGGGCCCTCGCTG